AAATCCAGATATTTATAGATGTTTCCTGTATATTCGAGAAATTAATTATAAAGCTTATAAAAGCCGAGAACAAACAACTCATCTCAATAGTAGCTGTAGTTCTAGCGAACTGTTTGTTTGCTTAATGCTGTGATTGATTTGTAGCGATTTCGCTGTGAGATAGAATTAGTTTCTCTGTTTTGAATTGATTTTTTCTAAACGTTTGACATTTTGTGATATTGTTAGAATATTTTTGATATTCTAACAATATATATTTACTTGTGTTTTTGGACTTCTGCAGAAATACAATCTACCTTTGGCAAAATTAAATTCTGTAGCTACAGATGGCGCTCCATCAATGACCTGGAAAAACAAGGGCTTCGTAGCATTACTCATTCATCATATGCATCGTATTATACATCAAGAAGTTCTATGCACGAAAGTAATAAATATGGAGAATGTTTTGTCATATATAAAAAAGTTATAAATTTTATAAGATCTCGAGTTTAAATCAGCGTCAATTCACTGCTTTTTTAAGTGAGTTAGAATAGTGAATATTCGGGTTTGTCCTACTATACCGAGGTATGTTGGTTATCTTGCTCCAAGATTCTCACACAATTCCAGGATTTGAAAGAAGAAATATGTCCAGTTTTTAAAAACGAAAAATCAAGACGTAAGTTTGTTTTACGATCCAATATCGGATACAAGATTTATCTTTCTTGGTTGATATAACCAAAACACTTAACCGATTTAAATTTATCGTTACGAAGGAAAAGATCATATCATTACGAACATGTTTGACATAAATTAAAGCATTCAAATGTCAACTAGTTCTTCGGGAAAAAACAACTTAAAAATGAAGATTTGACGCACTTCCCGACGTGCAGCATGAAACAAATCAAGTTTTAGATGATACTTCTTGTATCAAAAATACGCAGAAAAAAATTGCAAATTTAACACTGAATTTGAAAACGAGGTTTAATAATTTAGTTCCCTCGAAGACAATTTTTTTTTGTTTTCTTCGATTTTCTCAATAAGTATTGACTCAGTACCCAGCCATATGCAAATGGAGGTGATCGAGATTCAATGCAACTCAAATTTGAAAGCAAAATTCATTGAAGTGGGCGTGGCTGAATTTTACAAATATTTACCAGCCAGGTATGAAAATACTCGAAAATTCGCATATGAAATTATTTCCATGTTTGGTAGCACTTATCGGTGCGAGCAGTTATTTTCAGTCATGAAAGGTAATAAGTCTCACTATGCATTCAAATAAGAAGTTTATACGGAAACAGCCAGTTAGCCAGAGATGAACATTTGCGCATGCGCAAAGTCGCCAGAGATGAAATAGAACTTTCGAATTATCTACAAAACAAAAAAATTCCAATACGTTAGATGGCGCTGGAAGCATCGGATCAGTTTCACTTCGGGTGAGTTAATACATGTTATTTGTTGCGGTTTGCGGCTAAGAACACGCGTATTAAGTTAATGGATTTTCCGACCTGAAATTGTGTGTACATCCAGTCTTTTTTCTAACCGTAACCGCAAAGTCATTAGTATACAGTGGCGTATAATACATTAACTGTACCCTGATCACTATAAGATGCAATAGTTATCACTGCAAACAAAATTTCTCCGGAAATAGGAAAGATAATAGCAGAGAAGAGATGTCAAGTATCAGAACGTAAACATTAAATTTTTCTTGTTCTTTTCTATATATATATATATATGCTTATTATTGTATTATTGGAAATAAATCTACGTTTATATAAATATTGATTTTTTTTTTTTGCGGCCCGCCTAAAGTTAAACCTTGTTTGTTTGGCCCAAGTGTACCTATGAGTTTGACATCCTTGACCTACATATTGTGTTCGACAGAAAAATATATATGTATCAACACTTTATACATAGTATATAATATGTATATGGTGTATATACTATACGTATATAGAGTATAGTATGTACATAGACCTTCTTTGTGTCATCTTTGGTGTTGGCGATAATTTTCAAAAGCGCGCCAAGGCTGCATCGTATACTAGGATCCATATTTAATTTAAAACTTTAAATAGTTTATATATACGTATTTTTAGCCACTTCCAATAAAAATAAACAACGCAACGCACTTACCAGCGATATAAGTTTCGTTTTCACTGTAAACAACTTCCCATCATTTTTTTGTTTAGAATATCTTTACCGACGCTGCATGGTTCTTCAAAAAAGATTTTAAAGATTTTTCTTTTTTAATCAACGATGGGCTGCGCCATGTGTTGGGTACGTGCTTAGTGATGATTGCAAGATGTACACAAACTACATTGCTCATCCACTATTAAAGACAGACAGACAGAAAAAGTAGACAGATGTCTTGTTTTGCACCCGCTAAGTCTTTCTGCACCGATGGGCGAAAAATCAAGCATAGGTGCGAAGGAAAGGTATATAGAAAAGGGGGCAATTTCGTATTTGAGGATAGTAAAAAGGAACTTCGTACATTTTGTACGAGTTCAAAAGGCCAGAAAGAAAAGATGGGACAAAATAAAATTTGAAATAAATGCCCCCCCCAAAAAAAAGAAAGGGGGGGGCATATAGAAAGAAAAGGAAAAGAAGTAGAAAATATCCTAAAATACTATTGTGTCCATGAGTGTAATTAAAAGTAGTTCATTTGCAAAAATTAGTGTCTTTAAGAAGCAAACTTTAGCTAAGTTAAAAAAAAAAAAATAAATGAATTCCTACATGGTAATGTGTATGCCCATATCTTGAGACCTAACTAGAAAAGACATATATCATCACAGAGATGTACATAATATTTTAACTGAAGTAACATTAACTATTACCGTTCCCAAAAAATTCATGTATATTTCAGAAAAACAGTAATTGACAAAATCATAAATCCATACACAGTGTGAGAGCATATCAGCAAAAATAAGTTATACAGTTTATTTTTCTTAAATATTAGTTAAATATAAAATTAATTTATTAATTTAACCTTTGTAATTTATTATAGTACATGTTTAACAAATTCCGTCACACTGTATTTATATTTGCTCATAATACTAAGTGTGATACCTGGAGAAAAAAGTCGGAGATCTTAGTTACAAAAATTACAATCTATACTCATCGATGGTCAAGAAATCCCCATTTTTTCCCTCTCAAGAAATTCCTAAGCACGAAGAGGGGGGCCTCCGAAGGGTGTGAATAGCTGATAAGAACGGACTACTGATAAGGAATGTGGCGTCTCTACGGAATAGTTACGAAGAAAAGAACCACATGACTTGCTACTATTACTAACTATTGTATAATGCTAGAATCTTATGAAAATAATAAATAAAGAAATTTAATGGCACTTTAGGACAAAATCCTCTCTTTTTTTTTTCTTTTTTTTTCTTTACGCTGTAGTTTTAAATGTCTAATACCACTGCTTTCTGGTGTATAAACACCAGAACGATGATGACACACAAAAAAGTAGTATCTGAATTTCTTTCTTGGGCACCACGTTCGACTATAAAACTGCATTTTGTCTCGGTTTCAATGCCCTTTTTACATACAGTAAATTCTTGAAAAGAAGGGAACTGCAAATCTTCAGTTACAAAACATTTATCATGGAAAACACGTTTTCAAAATGCTTCAGCAATTCTGCCTTTGTAGATGTAGCGCCCGTAGATTGTGTCGGAATGAATACGTCTTTGAACACTCCAAACATACAGAATTACCTTCCATAATAATGACGCTAAATATAAGAAATCAGTAACACCTTAACTAACTTCAAACTTCTTATTCATGCTTAACTTCTGAAACGTGACAATATTTAGTGGAATAACATGTCTTTAGTTGCAAATCTGATGATGCATCTCCAATTCTGTATAACGGACAGCAGCTAATAACGCCAACAAAGCTTGTCATTACGCATGCGCTAAGCAACTGCCATGCTAGGGCGAGACAAGGTCCGTGTTCTTTCTACGGACCTTGAGGGCGAGATGCTATTTCCTTTATGTCACTATGGCTAAGGTTCCTATAGGAGCCTTAACTATGGCCAAAGAACCTTACAGATTCTTTTACTATGGCTACTGACGGCAGAAAGACTCAGTCGGTGCAAAATAATACATCTGTCGAATTTTCCTACATTGAAGTAATACATAAGCAGTCTTCATACAAATTAATAGGAAGTGTTCTTTCTCCGCTGCAAAATATTTCCCAAATTGTGTACCGTGAAATGTGGGAATTATTTTAAGTGTTGGCTAACAAATGGTGTGAACCTCATACGTGTGAAAAATGTCATAATTGTGAGGTATGGAAGTTGTTTAGTCAGAAAGGAAGTTGAACATGCATTTGCGTATTCACACTAGAGAAAAAAAACTTTACATGTGTGAAGTATGTAAAGCATTCTTTTGTCAAAACAGTCATTTAAAGGTGCATATGCGTACTCATTCAGAAGAGAAAGCTCATCAAAATGTAGTATATTTAACATAATCGCATAAATTCATAATTAAATAAGTATATCTTCTTGAGCAAGGAATCATATTTCTGTGAAATGAAGAAATTAATTTTTACTGAAATATTCTTAGAAATCAAACCATGCTTATATAGTGCATTAGATAAATATGCGCGAAATATCTAAATATATTTTTCATGATAATCACTTGTATATTTGTGCAGGACACTGAAAACTAGTATGAGATACCCAAGAACAACCTTCGGTAAAATTTCTGTCAAGCAACCTATGCAGAATAGAAACATCCAAGTTTTTATGATATCAAAGTTTATAGTTCTCTCTATAGCAAGGAAAATTAAGTTCCAGTGGAATGTAACCATAATTTGGAACGAGCAGTGTTTTAGAAGACCTTATGGATGGCAATATAGGAAAGAAACCTTATGTGTGTGAAGTATGTAAAAAGTTTTTTAGTTTTAAGGGTAATTTAAAGAAGCATATGTATATTCACACTGGAGAGAAACCTTATGTGTGTGAAGTATGTGAAAAGTTTTTTAGTTTTAAGGGTAATTTAAAGAAGCATATGTATATTCACACTGGAGAGAAACCTTATGTGTGTGAAGTATGTCAAAAGTCATTTAGGCAAAAGCAAAATTTGAATAAGCATATGCATATTCACACAGGAGAAAAACCTTATATGTGTGAAGTATGTAAGAAGTTGTTTAATCAAAAGGAAGGTTTATACTTGCATGTGCATATTCATACTAAAGAAAAACCTCATATGTGTGAAGTATGTAACATGTTGTTTAGTCGAAAGACTCATTTAAAGCAGCATATGTTTATTCACACAGGAGAGAAACCTCATGTGTGTGTAGTATGTAAGAAGTCATTTAGTCTAAAAGGTAGTTTAAAAAAGCATTTGCGCATTCACACAGGAGAGAAACCTTATGTCTGTGAAGTATGTGAAAAGTCATTTAATCGAAAGCCTAATTTGAGCAGCCATATGCTTATTCACACTAGAGAAAAACTTTATACATGTGAAGTATGTAAAAAATTGTTTAATCGAAAGGATAATTTAAACAGACATATGCTTATTCATACTGGGAAGGAACCTCATGTGTGCGAAGTATGTAAGAAGTTGTTTAGTGAAAAATCTGCTTTAAATGTGCATATGCTCTTTCACAGAGGAGAAAAACCTCATGTGTGTGAAGTATGTAAGAAGTCATATAGTCAAAAGGGTAATTTAAAGAGGCATATGCTTATTCACACAGGAGAGAAACTCCATGTGTGTGAAGTATGTGAAAAGTCATTTAGTCGAAAGCGAAAGTTAGATGAGCATATGCTTATTCACATTGGAAAACCTCATATGTGTGAAGTATGTAAGAAATTATTTAGTCAGAAGGAAGGTTTAAACATGCATATGCTTATACATGCAGGAGTAAAACCTTACATGTGTGAAGTATGTAAGAAGTTCTTTACTAAGAAAGGAGGTTTAGACATGCATATGCTTACTCACACAGGAGAGAAACCTTATATGTGTCAAGTATGTAAGATGTCATTTAGTCGAAAAGATACTTTGACCAAACATATGGTTGTTCACACTCGAGAAAAGAATCATATGTGTGAAGTATGTAAGAAATCATTTAGTAGAAAGGATACTTTAAACGCACATATGATTATTCACACTAGAGCAAAACCTCATGTGTTGAATTTGCAAGAATTTGTTTAGTGAAAAGTTTTATTTTAACTTGTATTTGCTCATTCACACTAGAGGAAAACCTCACTTGTGTGACATATGTATCGGAAAGGGTAATTTAAAGCAACATATGCTTATTCACACGAAGTATGCAAGAAATTTATTCAAAAGAGTAATTTAAAAGAGCATGTTCTTATTTGCTCATTCACACTAGAGAAAAACCTCACTTGTGTGACGTATGTATTGAAAAGTGTAGTTTAAAGCAACATATGCTTATTCACACAGGAGGGAAACCTCATGTGAGTGAAGTATGTAAGAATCATTTGTTCAAAAGAGTAATTTAAAGGAGCATGCTCTTATTCACTCTGGAGAGATGCTCCGTGTTATGTAAGAAGTCTGTCTGTGGAATGGGTCATGTAAAGAAGCATATGCATATTCACACAGCAGAGAAATTTTCTATGTGATATATGTCAAATATCATTTATGTTAAAAGAGTAATATTTTTTATGTCACTCTTTATTTTAAGTTGTTTCCAGAGGAGAGAAATTTGAATAAGCATATTATTGATGCATTAGAGAAACCATCTGTTTTTTAAGATATGCTAGATTAGTAACACACTTTACTTATGAATGAAGTAAGGACTTGTCTGTGCAATGAAACCTGATTATCTTATCTCAAGACTGGTTTAATTTTAATCAGATTGCTGACTATCTAAATGTTTCTAATATATTCGGTGTTAGGATTTTCTAGATTTTAGTGCTGGATGCATAAAGCCTACCAACTGAGGCTGTGTGAGGTATGTAAATTGTTGTTTAATCAAAATAAGTAATAAACATTTTATTTGTTTGCACAAGAGAAAACATATCATTTATGAAGTTAAATCTGAAGTGATTCAAAACTTTTATGGACTTTGATTAAACTTAACTCTTTCTGTCTTTAATACAGATACGAATCACAACTGTGTTATTAATGATGGAAATGTCTTTCGTATTAACACTTGTCATGAAATAAAGCATTAATTGCTTCTATTCATGGTGAAGAAAAACTGAAGAACATGTCCTCCCAACTCCAGTATTAAATGTATCGACGTATAATGTTAAAAAAACCAGTAGAGGATTATGACATATACTGTTGGAAATGAGTTTTTTCCAAATATTTCAAGTCAAATCTTGGACATACCAAGTAGAGCAACCTTATCTGTATAACAGATATAAAAGATAATTGGGAAACATCATTTCCGTGCAGGTAAGAAATCCATGCATACTAGATATTTATTAAAAACTTTTCTATGTTTCTTTAATTCACAAGTGAAGTTAATGTTTAACTTGGAAGATGGTCAGTTGCATTATAAACATGAGGAACTCTGTATTCTCTTCCCCCAAAAAGTTTCAGTTATAACCTGAGGTTTTAATTCGAGGAAAACTGCTCTGGAATTAGTCCTAACAGATTTTTAAAACTGGTCTTTCATAGAATTAAGTAAAATTTGCCTGATTATTTTAAAATTTTATTTCATAGTATTCATTGAAGTACCATTGCTATATTTTAATCTCTTATTTTATTTAATAAATCTTAATTTTTAAAAATAATAACCATCAATGATACTTTTTGTGAAGGACCCAATGATAGGGCCATCTAGGAATCAAATCATGTATATGCATGTGTACAATGTTTAATACATTTTATTGTGTGTTTACAATTACTAAAATGCATAGTAGGTGCATAGTGGGAAAAGTACCCCCAATTTTTTTTTTTACGTAAATTATTTACTGTCTTAGGAGCAAAACACAGAAAATTATTGAAGTTATCAAGATAGTTTATTAAAGAATTTTAAAATGTTTTATTATAAATGTTTAAAGTTGTATATTTGAAATGGTTTTTACTTAATTTCAAAAAGGTTAAAATAATGATCTCTACATATGTAAAAAGCACATTATGAGATGAATTTTGCAAATACCATACAAAGGAAGTTAATGAAGGTAATTGATATTAAAGAACTTCAGATATGTTTGTAATATTTAGTATATCAAGGGTACGTATTTGAATGTTTAATCGGTAACTTTTAAAATTCATGCACACATTCACATTCTTTGCACGAATTGCATATTTCATAATACTTTTATGAACTAAATCTAAAAGAGATGCATGACATCAGACTAATTCAATGTGATGTTTAACTCTGTTTCGAAATTGAAGCTCAACTGTTCAGATTAAAACATTAAATGAAATAACATTAATATCTTAACATTGTTAGTGCCCAAATACTTTTTAGTTATTTAAAACATAAGTAGAGCCAGATTTAGATTTGATAAGGCCATATGCTATTTGAGGTATGGGCCCCTTTATAAGTCTATTATACTATACAGTAGACTCCCGATTATCCACGCCTGCCACATAAAGAGTTTTTTTTTTTTTTTTTTTTTTTTTTTTTTTTTTTTACAAGCAATAAAAATGTTCACAAAACTGAGCGAAACGTTAAATTTGCTAACATTGTGCTTATTTATGGCAAAAATATCTCAAGCCTTCTCGGAACCTTCCCCTCGGCTCCTCTGATGAGTAAGTGATTTCTTACTCACCTTTGCAGTGCCCGCTCCACTGCCCTCTCTCGTCTTAATCTTACTGACACGTTCACTTCCTCCCACTTTCCATTGTTAGTTTAAGCCTGATAGTGTTTGCAAACCAGTCCGAGTTAATTTCTTACCTTTTATTGTGTTCAGTGCTTGTGCTTTTTGGTTTTGTGTTTTTTGTTATCGATTAAAAATGTCAGGAAAATGAAAGAAGGTTGTGTTGACGAGTGCGCAAAAACTAGAATTAACTTTCAAAGTAGCAAACAGTGCTATAAGGCAGCAGATGGAATTGGATTACGGAATCACAGAAACAACAGTGTGTGACATTCTAAAGCAAAAAGACAAACTGGTGAACTTTGTATCAATGTTGGACAGTGCTTCCGCAATGAAAACATGAAAAACTATGAAAGGTTCTACCTTTGATGAGCTAGACACGGCATTGACAGAGTGGTTAGCTCAAGTTCGAAAAGAGGGTACTCCTGTAAATGGTCCTATTGTTGCGGCGAAGGCAAAAACCTTTTTAGAGTAGTTAGGCCTGAAAGGAAATTTTGATGCATCTTCTGGCTGGTTGACTCGTTATAAGCAGCGACATGGAATTCGAGAAATTGGACTTCATGGGGAGAAACTTAGTGTTGACCAACAAGCAGCCGACGATTTCCACCATGAATTTGAAGAATTTTTTTTTAAAGAAGAGCTATCTTTTGAACAAATTTACAATGCTGACAAATCGGGACTTTTGTGGAAATGTCGGTTGATCTTTACAATATGGTAACTGGTAGTTTGGCGACATTTTGGAGGCGATAAAGGTTACTACCTGGGACTTTGGTAATAATGTGAGCAGTACTCAGTTCCGATTATGCATTATTTTGTGTGGGGGAAATGAGAGATCATGGGATATGTCATGTGATATTAATGGATGAATTACGCTTCTTTAATCGGAAAAGGGGGGAATTTGGACAAGTATCTGTGGATGTATATTATTTTGTATTAAGCTTCATTGTGTGTTGTGTGAAGTAGGGTTGAATAATTTTGGGATTGTATGGCGCTATCTAAAGTGAATTGTAGATGTGATAAAGAGAATTTTTTTTTTTATCAAATTCGGAAAAAAAATCGTTCAGTAATTTTATTGAATCCATAATAAAAGTGTATCCACCATGTAAGGAAGATTCGGAAGATTAGGTTAGTTAGACTTTGTTAAGAATGTGAGTAGTATTCAGCTCTGATTACGCATTATTTTGTGTGAGGGAAATGAGAGATCATGGGATATGTTATGTGATATTAATGGACGAATTACTGTTCTTTAATCGGGAAAAAATCTGGCAATTTTGTAGTTGGCTTTATTCTGTGTTGTGTGAAATAGTGTTTGTGAATTTTTGGATCCCATGGCCGTAAGTAAAGTGAATTCGAAATGGGTATTTAGTGGTATTGAAAAGGATAGTAATAAATGTTTTTTAAGGTTGTGCGAGAGAGAAATAAAGATGTTTTATTATGTTATTTATTTTACCTGGTATCTTGCTTTGAAAGATAAGTATGATTTTAAAGATTCTGAAGCAGAAGTAAGAAAAGTGTATCCGCCACGTAATCAAGATTCTGAAGAAGATTGGGTAAGTTAGTATTTTTAATTATTTGAGGATATTATTTTTATGCATTGTTGTAAATGTAAGGTGGAAAGGAATTTGGTATTATTGGGAAAATTATTATTAGCAATGATTTAGTTTAAAGTAATTAGGATTGTAAGGTAATTTTTATTAATTTAATGTATGTGCTCATTTATATTTTAAGTAGTGTTTTTGAATTTAATTATATTTTAATTAAATGATAGTTATTTTGTGAATTTTATGTTTGTAGGAATTTGGTATACGTTTAAATTGAAGTAAGCGTGGATGGAAATAATTTAAATATTTGATACTTAGTATTTGTAATGCTTGCGGTATGAATTCGTTCGTGACGTGTATAATGTAATAGATGATTTGGAGGTAAAAGTTTTTGGATATTTTATTTATTTTATATGTGGAAATGTTCATATTTGTAAAGGGTAAATACTTTTTCGCGATCATGTAATTTCATATATGTTCTTTTTACCGGGTTTAAAGATTGAGAAAATTGTCATGTATTTTCGTGAAATTTTTTTAATTTATGAGAAAAAAGCAGTGTACATGGATATAGTGAAGAGTGTGCGCAATGCCATTTTTGTGCAATTCTGGGATTTTTTTTTAAGTAAAAATAAGTCGACGTGTACATGGTTTAGTGATATTTTAATGAAATAATAGTTATTTTGTGAATTTTATGCTTGTAGGAATTTGGTATACGTTTAAGTTGAAATAAACGTGCATGGAAATAATTTAAATATTTGATACTAAGTATTTTTGTAATGCTTTCGGTATGAATTCGTTGGTGACGTGTATAATGTAATAGATGATTTAGAGGTAAGAGTTTTTGGATATTTTATTTATTTTATATGTGGAAATGTTCATATTTGTAAAGGGTAAATACTTTTTCGCGATCAGGTAATTTCATATATGTTCTTTTTACCGGGTTTAAAGATTGAGAAAATTGTCATGTATTTTCGTGAAATTTTTGTAATTTATGAGAAAAAAGCAGTGTACATGGATATAGTGAAGAGTGTGCGCAATGCCATTTTTGTGCAATTCTGGGATGTTTTTTAAGTAAAAATAAGTCGGCGTGTACATGGTTTATGTGTATGTGTTATTTTGAAAAATGCGTAAGGAGAATGGTATTGTGCAGTTTTTCCTAATTTTGCAGTGAATATTTGTCATGATTAAGCAGTTTTGTTTGATAAAATTTCTAGCATAAGTGTAATTCGGCCTAGTAGATTGTTGGAGAAGTGTTCAGGAGATAAAAAGAAAAGAAACATGTCTTTACTTCGTGAAGACAAAATGGCGGCGGGGAAAAAAAAATAGAGGGTTGCTGTAGGAGAGTTGGTCGCCAAATTTTCGCCAAAAAATCGCCAAGTTACCATAATGTAAAGATCAACCGAAATGTCTTCCCACTCGCACTTCAGCATTTGAAAATGAAAGTAAAGCGGAGGGTCATAAAAGCAGCAAGGAAAGGATCACTATAATGTCTTGCAGTAACGCTACCGGTGGACATAAATTTAGACTTATTGTCATTGGAAAGTAAAAAAAACCGAGATCTTTCAAAGGCACAAGGATAGAAAATTTGCCCGTTGATTACTTTTACCAAAAAAAAAAAAAAAAAAAAAAAAAAGGATGAGTGAACTGAAACAATTTTCAAGAATGGTTCGAAAACATCTTTGAAAAACCTGCCTGAAAAAGCTGTTCTATTGATTGACAACGCACCTTTTCACCCAGCAACAAGCATGCTAAAGTCTTCTGGTGGACAAATTTTTGCAAAGTTTCTCCCCCCAAACGTTACTGTGCTAATCCAACCCATGAAACAAGGAGTCATTGCAACAATGAAGAGAAGATACGGAACCAAGCTGCTAATGACCAAAATTGAAGAAGGTTATGATCTGAAAGAGTTTTGGAAACACTGCACAATCTTGGACAGCATCTACGATATTGCATCTGCATGGGAGTCAGTCAAACCGTCAACCCTCATAAAATCATGGAGAAAACCCATGCCTAATGTTGAAACCAACAACAACCTAACCCCTTTGAGTTGTGAAGAAGAGAATGAAGATGTAAACACACCACAACAACTCTTGCCGATATAGTGAACACAGTTCCGGGTGGTGAGAACGTGGATGCTGAAAACATTAACGAGTGGTTGGAGTGTGACGTCAACGAACCTGGCTTCGAACGCTTGACAGATGACGAAATTCTGAAGAAAGCAATGGGAGAGACCGAGAATGAAGGACAGTGAAGTGAAGGTGAAGATCACGACATTTTGTACGATGATGTTTTAATCCTCTGACCGACTAGAATATTTTTATAACCGTATAGAGTCTTTAGGTTATTTTAAGCAGGAGATTTGAAAATTGTGCAATGCCCTCGCCGGGATGCGAACCAGGACCTCTCAAATATGAACACAGTTGCAGAAAGGAGGGAGAAAATACCTTATAACATCTTTAAGGAAGTTTGTATAATGTTCATTTGTACATATGTCCAATAAATTAAGCATATTAAAATTCATAAATCCAGATATAAAGCATCAGGGAGATTTTGGCATTAACAACAAAGGGAAAAAATCTGAAAGATTTTGGTTTTGATGATCGCCCAAAAGGGTTTGTTAAGTTTTTTTAAGCTCTCGCTGAGCTCACCCTCTACCAGTCTGCTGTGACTACTAACCCCCTTCTTTTGGGCTTTTTAGCTTTACTATTAAGCATCATTTTCTTAGAACTTAACTACTGTGCAGATGTGGAAGACTCACGAAGTGGCTTTGCAACAAGTCAACGGACTGCTAAGCTATTTGGAAGAAAAAGACGATGCAGAGTTGGCCGAGAAACTTATGCTACGAAAAATGCAATCTCGGATCAAGAGAAAATGCTTCCAAAGCAAGAAGCAAACACAAATGACCGATTTCTTTTAAAAGGTGTAGTTTTACAGTTATGCTTTTGTAATTACATAATACATTACAGTATTAAAACAGTACATATGTATTAATTTTTCTGTGTATCCTTGACGCCTCTCGTAAGTACAAAGCACTTTCTGTTTTCGTTAACAAAATGCATTTTAGTTTAGTTTTAAGTGATATACTAAAATATTAAGCATTAGTTAAACATTTTCTGCTGTTTATCTTATGTTTTATTGTATATAAAAAAGATTTTTCAAAGTTGGAATGACTGTTTTTTCTTTTGCTATACCCGTTTTTAGCTTTTTTTCAGATTATCCACGATTTTTGTTATCCGCGGCGGCCGCACCACCCAATTCCGTGGATAACTGGGAGTGTACTGTATTTTAATTTTTTTTGGTTGGGGAGGGCCTATGCTATAGCTTGTGTATCTTATACATGAATATTGCTCTGAACATAAGTACAAAATTTATTTAAAACATTTCATCTGTCAAGTATTGAGAGAAATTTCTTTGCCGTTTACTATAAGTACTATGTTTTATTATAAAATAAGCATTTCTGCAGAAATAACCTTGTCTTTTATTAAAGTGACCAGATTTCGAAGTTCAAAATTCGGGCTGCTCTCTCTCTCCATATATATACTGGCTGTCCATAATTAAATTTGAAATTTTCGAGAAGTCTGTAGCAAAAACTATACAGCAGAATTGCATGAAAATTAGGTAATGGCAGAATGAAATGATGGGAATTTTATTGAGCGGGGGAAAAGCAATGAGTTTCAAAAATCATGCCTAAGTGACCTATCATAGCTTTATTGAGAACATATAAATAATGTACAGAAGTTTACAAAGTGCCCGATATGATATCCACCGCTGTCTGCTACCATCTGGAAATGTAAAATCGCATGTTCGACTTGACTACAGCATGAAATGTGGAATGTTACGCATATGGCATTCTATGCGTATGGCATTCTATGCTTTCTTTAAGGTCGGATAGAGATGTTATGGGATCACAGTAGACCATAGCCTTGATGTATCCCCCACAGCCAAATGTTGCAAGGATTCAAGTTGGGGATCTAGGAGGCCAAGCTGGGGGAAATTGACGTCTGATAATTCTGTCATCACCAAAATGGTGGAGCACTTGTTTCACACAACGGGCGATGTGTGAAGGAGCACCATCCTCCATAAACAGTGTGGTTGTATCACATCGCCTTGTCTGAAGAGCCAGAATAACGGATTGCTCTAATAATGAAGCACATCATTGACCAGTGATGGTGTAAGTCACAGGTCTTGCGACGCTGTGCTGAAGAAGATTGCAGTAAGGCCTCACCAAACCTTTACATGTGAAGAGTGTAATGGAATTTGTAGAAACTGATATAGGTTTGTAGCAGCCCAAATACGGCAATTGTACATGTTAGCCGCACCTTCTGTATGAATGTGGGCCTCTTCGGTTCAGAAAATGTTCCATGGTCATTCATTCTGGAGCTCAACTCACTCAAGAAATTGCAACGTAAGAGTTTCTCGACTATCCAGATCAGTTGCTGCACTAGCGACAGTTTACAAGGATAGTAGCGCAAGACCTTTTGAAAAAATCTTATGAACCGTGGAACGAGGTTGATCAGCAGATGCTGCAATACACCGAATACTAATGCTGCCGATGGTTTGCGATCTGTCTTCCTCCACTTGCGTTGCTGTATCATTCACTACCTGTGCTGCAACACACTTTTGTTCTCTTCCTGGCTGAATCCTCAATGTTCCCGTTGCTTCAAATTTCCTAATCATGTTTGTTAATCCTTGACTAGTGAGTGCACCTTTTTGTAACTGCTTTAATGACTGAAATTTTCGCATAGCTCTGTAGCAGAGTCTCCGTTTTGATAAAACCAATTCACAAGTAAAGCACATTCCTTGTGAATCAACGTCATCTTCCATGACTTGGAAACGAGTATGACTGTGGTTCGCCTCTCGCATCTTTAAGGGTTCCTGTGCACTGCACAGGACTACTATGGTTATGACATTCGCATACGCTAGTATTTTACATTGCACAATGCCATCTAGTGGTGGTTTTTGAAATTCATTGTTTTCCCCCTCCCTCAATAAAATTCCCATTGTTTCATTCAACCATAACCCAATTTTCATGCAATTCTGCTGCATAGTTTTTGCTACAGGGTGCTCAAAAATTTCAAGTTCAATTATAGACACCCTATATGTATCTATATATAATTTTTTGAATAATTTTTTCCTAACTCGATTATTTTATTATTATGATTATTGTAATGAAGGTGGTACATAGATCAATATATATATAAAACAAGCATAAAGCATCCAAAAATAAAATTAAAATGGAATCAAAACAAGGCAGTTCCTAATAACATTAAAAATGCAACCCTGGATTAAAGGTCTAATATGGTAGCAAACAAATCGAAACTTATATAAGAATTCATCAGTAGAATAAACCCAAAAAATAAAAATGCAAATTGGTAATAGAATTAAAAACTAAATATTTATCTCCTTTATCTGAAACCCTAATTCCAAACTGTTCAAGGAAAAATGAATTAAAGTTTCATGAAAGTTGATTAAAATGTCTCGAATACATGTATTTCTATTACCAATTTGCATTTTTATTTTTCAGGTTTATTCTACTGATGAATTCTTATATTAGTTTTGATTTGTTTGCTACAATGTTAGACATTTTATCCACAGTTGCATTTTTAATATTATTAGGATATTGCCTTGTTTTGATTACAATTTAACCCGCGAGAGTGCGCATCGGGCCTGCCAGGCGCGGTCGTTACAAAAACATAATACAAAAATGTCACCGCTTGGTGAAATTTATCGACCTTCTCAGTAGCTGCATTTAAGGTCATGTACGTGTCATTCACAAGCATTTCCGGAATTTATCCCTCCATCTTTTCTCAGAAACAGAATAGCCGAGTTTCCCAGGCCCAAGGCGCACGCTCATATTGTCATTTAAAATTGGGAAAGATGTCAGGCAGTTGCAAAAATGTCTCGCTATATGATTTATGACAATGAAATGAAAAGATTACATAAACTATCAGCCGAAGTGTCGACTGATGAAGATTCAGTTAATGATGAAGACAAAGAAATAGTTGATGAAGAACAGTTTAGTGATTACCAATCGAATTCTGAAGAGACATTAGACTCAAATGATGAATCTAGCAATGAATTCAGTATTTCTGTGTCCGCGAATATAGTTTTTCAATATACAGGTATTCCTTCTGTAAGGTCTTCATTAAATGTATACTTCCCTTCCCCCCTTTTTTTAACCTATTACTAAAAACTCCAACAGTAAAAATAAATAATAAATTAAACTACATTAAAATATACCCTTAGCACATATGTAATGTACCGTTAGTAAATGAAAAATATATGTCATTGCCAAATGGGAAATGTCATCATTTCAGTAGATTTTTTAGACTCTCATGACAAATCAAAATGATGATGGAGTAAAATGTTTAAAATCTAAATGTGACAAAGGAAAAAAGCTATATCTACAATAAAATTTCAGCAAATGACAAAAGTCTAATTTTTAGATGCCATGTAATAATGTAGTGAGAGGATGATACATACTTTCATATGTGTATGTGATGCACCACTGATAGTTAAAAAATATATGTATCTACTATAAATTCAAATCACAATCAAATTAATATATAAATTAAGAATGGTAGTGCTGTATGTAAGTGAAATTCTGAACTGGAACTGTGAGCTGTGATAAAAAATTCTGTGTATATTGGGGGGTAGGGAAGAGAAACACAGGAAGGAGGAATAGAATTCCCCCACTACAATTTTTCGAAGGTAAACACTAGATGAAGAATACCTTGTTAATGTGGCCAGTATGTCGTGCATCTCTTAACTTAATGCTTGTATTCTCAGGTTGCAATCTATGCTACTTATATAAATATATACAATTTGTCATCATTCTTCCCTTTAGCAATTTTTTAATAAAATATTATATTCTTACTCATATTTTATCACAGTTTCTTCTATTGTTGGCAAATTTCAAGAGCCATATTTTAAAATAAATGAAGAAAAGTATCACAGTATGTCTGTGAAAACAACTGGAACATGGAATATCAGAAAAAGGACACATACGAAAATGCGGGCATTGCTTGACTGAAGGATTGTTATAAGCATAGTTTTTTGAAGAACGTTTATGCACATGGTTACTAGAGTTTGGCACAGTCTGAAAAACTGGTGACTTCTAGTAACGTGTTGTGATAATACGTAAGTACCTGTAAGCCTTATATTCGTTATATAATTTATTTCTACTTGTTATATGCAGAAATTGACACTGATGTAAATTAAGAACAAGTACTAAAATAGAATGAAATAAAAATTAGCATATTAATATGTTTGCATGCAAAGTCATAAATCTAAATACAATTGTTAGTCACACACAGGTGTAGAGTTGTTAATTCAGGATTTAGTTATATTTTACATGCATATAAAATTAATTGCATGAATATACATGATATATTATTTATACTGTAGTCTGTTCTTCAAAATAGGCATCTCAAAGCAAACTTTCCCTCCATTTTATACTTTTTTTATAACTATGAGAACATCTGCCTTTCCCTCCTATGAATACAATTTCCATACTATTTTGTACAGTTATATCCCATTTCAGGCATTTTAAAAATTTTTGCATTTCAGTCTCTTGATGGGATAGGCAAGAACAATTCACATTTCAGCCTTTTCTCTTTGCATAACATTGGTGGCTATACCTAATACACAAAGCAAGATGCTTTTAAAATTTTATTTCCATGCAGTATTATTATTTTTTTGAAACAGATCTTGTAGATTGAATCATCGAAAATAAAAAATCACATTGAAGCAAGAAAAGAAGAACTTTTAAGGGTCTGGTTAGCATTAAATCTGTATATAAATGGTACTAATACCCCCTCCCCCCAAAAAAAAAATGCAGAGCTTTAAAAATGTAACTTTGTTGTAGAGAAAAATGCTACACCACGTATAGAGAAAAATTATTTTTTATAATGATTTGCCTAACAGAGTTACTGTATCCTACTTGTATATTCAAACAAAGGATATGTTTTTCTTTCTATGCTTCTTTTAGTCCAGACTACTTTTTTGAATTCCTGCTCTTCTTTTTCTAATATCTTACTACCAACTGTAATGAAAAGTTTAAAAAAAGAAAGACTGAAATGTAATGATTTTTGATGCTCTCAACCAGAACACTTTCAGAAAGGGGAGGGGGAGGAATGCCTGCAAATGTACGATTTTTGTTGCCACCTTTAGAAAACCTGAATTGGATAAGCCCAAAATGGGATGTTACAGTTTTACCCGGTGAAGGCGTTGCTCGTTTTTCATCTTGCCTGCTTAAAAAAAAAAAATCCTAATGTCTCTACACGGTATTTGCATGCCTTTTTGTACATTTGAGAGATCTTGCCCTGCAACATCCTCTGCATTTATTTTTCCTATCATTGTGCAGCACTGAGGAACAAAATTTTAGATACATTAGTCATTCCTTAGTAATTCTGAAGAAAGGTTTGTTCCTTGGAATTTTTTCCGACCAGTGGCCGTGAAAATAAGATAACTAAACATTGGTAATTTGACAGAGATATATGAAGTAGTTATATAGATGTTTATGTGTCTGAGTAGTATGTTATTTAAAACATACTTTGAACCATTTTAAATTTAATTTGAATGCAAATACTTTCAAACCTCAAGGTATTTATTGCTGTGATGCATGTATGTAGAGATTCTTTCAGGCAGACTTTTTTTATTTTTCATAAATATTATGCTTCATAAAATTTAAATTATTTTTGCCATCTATCATATGAAATTCTTAAAAGCTTTACTAAACCTGTGCATACACAGAATTTCTACTGAATTGGAGGTACCTGGTCAGTAACAAATAGCTCCTTTGATAATGGCTGCTACATGACAACATGTGACCCCATATTGAATTACTAGTCTTTAGAGTTCTTTCTGCTTGACCATTGGTAGACTTACATTGAAATTTTTTTAAGAAGGACACTGCCTTTTCCACTAGATGCTAACAGGCAGCTAACAGTATTTTTTTTTGGGGGGGTAAGGATACGTTTGTGAAATTAATATATCCAGTCAAGAAAAAAGTTTTATCATCAGTTAATTTTGTCTGTTGTAAAACTTCCCAACATGTAAAAAATGTATCTCATAGTTGAATTAATCCAGCCCAGAGAGAAGAAATTAGAGACTTTACAAATTTTTGCTGATTGTATTTACTTTGAAAAAATTATTTTGTGATAAGAATAGCAGATTTAATTTTACCAGTGGCCATTAGTCAACATTTTCACAAAGATTTCTGCTAAAAAATATTCGGCGTCTGTTGTCCTATACTTGAAAGTATCCAATAGAAGGTAACATTGCCCCCTTTTAATCCAAAAATAAATAAAGAATGCAAAAATATATAGATATTTTTCATTGTAGAACAATATAAGTCAAAAATTTTTTTCTAGAGTGATATATGTGCCAGCTTGATATTTCCGGGAGGGGGACATACATTTCTTACAAATGCGCAGAAAGCAGTTACAGTTACAGCTAAGATCAAAGGTTTGCTCCCAGTAAAAAGTATCACTTGCGAGAATTAAAAAATCGTAAAATAACGCTTCTGAAATGTTCGTTTACCATTTTACAGACATTTAAATGTCCCTTTAAATGCTAGTATATATTTAGTGTTATGAAACAAAATTACAAAAGAGATGTTGGGTATAAAATTTATAGATAGGAGTTGAAGTTTGCCAAAATGAATTTAAATAAAGGAATTTTAATCACGAGTCTCACTGTTGGAATATCATACACAAAAATTTTCGCGATTTCACTTGGGCCCATTAGTGGCCGAGGGGTAAAATCACTTGACACTGGTAGTTCAGTCCAACTTTCGAATCCCGGTGAGGGGGTGGCTGCATGAGTGTTTTCATGATTTTCCCCATGTGTAATGTGTATATGAGCCAGTTTCCTTTAAAAAGTCCTCCATGAAAGCATTCCCTTAAAATCGCTGAACACTGGTAGTTCGGTCCAACTTTCGAATCCCGGTGAAGGAAAGCAGGCTTCAGCCTGCTTAGCTGACAGGCTTGCCCGCTAGTGTATCTATTAAAATCTGTCTAGCATACCTTAAAAACTTTTTTTAACCGTATTTTCCTTGAAAACATGAACACTGTTATTTATAATACATATAATTTAACCCTGTCCCATATAACTTGACCCTGTCCCGATATATATCTTTCTATAGAAAACTGTTTGGCATGTGTTGTCATGTAGCAAAAAAGATTGAATAAAATTTTCATCTTTCTTAAGGAATCAGTAATAGTTTCTAGCATTGCTGCAAAATTGTATCGCAAGCTTTATTAGCAGTGTAGCACTGAGCAGTATTTAAGTAAATTACAGTTGTAGTATAAATAGTGGCTTATTTTTAACAGTTGCTTTTTTTAATAGCATTGAAAATGTATCTATTTACTGAAATAAGTATTTGCCTATTCAAATCAAAGCTAAATATTAAATAAGCACCCTCAGTATTTCATTAGTTTTCTTTGACTTGTGGAAACAACACCTCAAACAGAACTAATAAGTTAAGGCAGTGTTTGAGTTAATGAACATTTATCTCGCTGTTTAAACTGCAGTCCAAAATTTTAGAAAAAAGTTATATTTTTTAACATTACTTTTAAAGCTTTGTTACATGAATATTGTTTTCAGTTTCCAAATATGAATCAAATAGTGATACTTTGAATATGTATTATCTGCGTCAATAGACGTAATAAGTATTTATACAGCATAATGAACAAACTGATTTGAAACCTCACTTTTATTATGCTTTATCTTATGCGTAAACATATTCAGTCTATTCTAATTTAAGTTGCATACTTTTATATGCTGTGTTACAAGTTTTATATACTTATAATACAATAAATTGTTTTTCAGGATTCATCTAATGGCAGTACTTAGGCTATCCTAAAACTATGCCAAAGATTAATTTGCATTATAAATTCCTGAATCCGAGATGTGTACATGAACTTAATGGCTACTTTTGAATTGACATTTGATCGAGCTGATGTAAACCTGGGAAATAAAATGCTTAGACAGTAAATGTGCAAGATGAAAAGTTTAACTAATCAAAGATTTGGATGTTATCTGGAGACAATTTGTTGATACTGCATGCTGAACAACATTGTGAAAGATTCAACTTCAGAATTTAAATGTTGCGAAAGCATACCATCATCCAGTTTTCTGAGATGAAAAACAAAAATGTTCTGCAATTTAAAATAGTATTTGTTACCTTTGTTATTATGAATTTGCTGCGAGATAAAAAAAAAGGTATTATGCAAATTTATCTTTGAATATCAGCTATGGTGTGCCTTTCAATATCAAGTTTCTAATTCCACATGTGCACAAACATAGGGCTGTGGCTGGAATATATCAGGACTTAAAAGAGAAGGGCTAGCTCATAGGGTTGTTCCCCTGAAACAGGCAGTGGGGAGTGATGACAGCCATGATGACACTGAGCGCAGAGATGCAACTGACAACATAGAAATTAGCGTTTTAAATCTGAAGAACCAGCGTTTAAAATGAGCTGTGTGTGAAAGATAGCTATAATTTAGAAGAGACAATGTTACTGCAGTATGCATTTTACACTAAATATTAAAAAATTTAATAGTACTTACTCAATTTTAAAATAACAGATAAAATGCACTACTCTTAGCATAAAGTTCCTTTTTTTTTTAATTTGCAGGGATTTTTTTTCTTTAAGTGCCTGTTTATTTCTAATCATTTCTTTATCTGCATGTTAACTAAGAGAACTGTACTACTGCTTCTAAGATAACTATAATAACAGCTATTTAAAATTAATCAAAAAACAACCTTAAATTGGCATAGTTTTCAAAATTTCTGCTAATCTAAGTTTGAGTTTCAGCCTAATTGTAAATTTTATATTGGCATATTTTCTATATTTTTCATATTTTTCTACCGATTCAATATAATAACATATAAATTTTTTAATAATTTTGTAACTTAGGCTTACATCAATATTACATTTAAATAAATGCATTAAGATTGTTATCTTAATTTAGAGAAAACAACTTTACTCACAATACCTAAATAAATTATTTAATTTTTTGAAAGGGGGGTTAAGGAGGCAGGTTTTCTTAGGCCATTTATTTCAATGTTATACTATTATATTTTATCTAGAATGCTAAGCTAGCACAAAATCGAATCAATAATAGCACATACAATAAAAATAACTTTAACAAAAACTTAACAAAATTAGTTCTAATTTGAAATGTGCTTTACGCTATTAACTTCTAAAATGTCATCTAGAAATATTTCAGATCAAAACATATTATATATGCTTACTTGTACAGTCACAATGCAACTACAAGTTGTTGAAATATTATTTATTGGCTACCACATTCGAAGCAATCTAATTTTTTGCCTTTTGGGTTCTTTTCCTGTGGGAAAAAACATGCATTTCTTAAGAAACTTATTCTACAAAGCTCTTATAACAATGCAACAGGAAATATCTTCACTAGTCCACCTGATTTTTTCCTTCTTTTCTAGCAATGCGTTAATCTGCGTCATTGTAAAAATATGGTTTGGATGTTTTTCCAAATTCTCCAATATGTGCTGATTTTTTATAAATTTCGCTGTTTGGGATTTTAATTTCTGAATTTCCGATACAAATTTCTTTCTAGATGTTGTCCACCTTCTTTGTGCTGAGCAAACATTCTAAAATTTTTCTTTTCTCTATTTTTCAATATTTTATTACAATTTTCTAAGGTTATTATTTTGTTCTTCAAATTATCAATACATTCTTGTTTATTTTTACACTTAGGTCATGCAGGGATATTGCTACTTAGGGCACTGCCACTTGTGAGTTTTATTTCAAAATCATTCACATTTGATTTATTATTGTCAGCTTCAATTTCGTTTTCGGCCTCAAAATAAATTTTCTTTGGGCTTAATTCATGTAGTCTTTCAAAAGCACTCTGCATTAGTTTTCTTTTCAAATGTCTCCGATTTCTTGGTGTTATTTTGTTTACTGCACAGGATAAATTTACTTTCGGCACAGTATTGCATTTTAACAGTTTCTTTTGCGGCAATCCAAACAAGTGATTTCTCATGTCATCTTCATAATCACTGAACAAAAAATTTTCGCCGCAAATTATTTCGCTTTTCACATTAATAGAATCCTGTCTTCGAAATTTATGTATCCATTCTTTCTACAAAAGCAAATGTCCTCTAGGAAAGCATAAAATACAATATCTCTTCCTTTCGTATTTCTATAAGTGTTACGACACATTGCTACACTTATAAAAGCCATATTATATAGCACAAGAAGCCATATTATATAAAGGATACTTTTAATAATGAATTTACAAGGAAAAGTGACTACTTTTCAGATACACTAATTATTAAATATTTACATTATTAGAAAACAAATATGTATGATTAAAATTAATTTGGAATATTCAACCTCTAGAAAATCGTCTCGCAACTGAATGAAACTACAGTTTTAAATGCGCGAAATCAAAGCAGGTGAAACACAGACATGTCAGATTACTTCCAGTTAACCCGCTCCGTCAGGTTTGCGTCGGCGAGGAGTCGAACAAAGGAATGACCTAGCCCTTGTATTTATTCCTGGTAATATGTACATGCATGGGCTATTTCTGGTTACATGTATACTCAGAAAATACACGAAAAATGAGCAGTTTTATGAAAGTTGAAACCAGGAATATGTATAATCAGAAAATACCATATTATTTATACAAGGAATGTGGTTTTATCTTGTATATCATATTTAATAAAAACAACAAGAAGATGTGATATAGGAATTTAGTTAAAACAAATTTAAAAAAAAATATTTCTTCATTTGTAAAAGTGCGCTCAAACAATATTTAAAATTCTATTCGTAAATCTTTCTTTTGCGTTCTCATTCAGTTATTATTATTTTCTTATTCTACTAATTTTTTTACTATTTAGAAATATATAGACAATATCCTTGGTTTAAACCAAGGATATGGTCTATTTTCTCTTTCATTTCGCTAAATATCCTTAAACCGTATAATTTCAGACTTTCTAGTAAACCTTAATAAATTTTAATTGTAACTGTCCAGTATCTACATGGTTTTAATGCAGAATTTTAATTATGTATTCCAATAGTTAATAATCCTACATTTTAAGTATTAATTAAAAGTATTTTTATTCCAAGTTTGATAATTTCATAACTTTAACTGTTGTCGTTGCATGAAATTTACTTTCAAAAATTCAACTCAAAGTGTTAAAAGTTTAAGTTTATTCTAATAAATATTCCTGACATTTGCCTATAAGTAAGGTTATAGTATATGTTAAATAAGAATATATCTTGATTCTATTAATTTACAAAAAATATCCTCATTCTCCTATTTCTTGCAATAAAGAAATGTTAGGGAAATGCCTGAAGTATAACAAGAACAGAAGCTTATATGACTTGCAGTGTTATATAATGTGAAACATTTGAGGATTTAATTTGAGAGATTCTGTTGCAAAGGCAAATTTCTCACAAACTGCACAATAAATACATCACTAAATATATTATTAAATTGAATTATCAGACTGTTAGAATTATATGATCATTTTTGAAAGTATTTCTGTAAACTAGGCAACGAACTCAAAAATGTAAAAATATTTGTAACTTATCACTTTTATAACATTTTTAATGACCAATTCAAAAAATATTAGAGCAATTTTCTGAAGTATCATGATAGTCTTTTATGTTAAACAGTTTTGCATGTGGCAGTGTGATATAAACTAAATAAATTCATTTGCATATAACTGTATTAAATGCAATACTCATGCAGCTAGATTGACACAAAGCATTAACACAAGCAACAAAACTATTAGGAATTTTTTGTTTTATTTGTCACATACAATGTTGCACTTAATTTATTCAATAATATACAATAACATGAAGTAAACATGGAATTTGAGTATAAATGGTTTTATCTGAATCATGTACCATTTAAAAATATGTGAAAATGGTAGAAATATTTAGACACTTCCCTTTAAACCAAAAAGAAGTGATATATTATTTGTACTGCACTGTAATAATATATATGAATATGTAAGATAAAAAATATGAAACTCAAAATTACTGACTTTATTTTTGCTATGCCCTCTTCCTGGTAAAACTAACTTGCATTATATTATCTACAAATCATAGAGCTCTTGATCAGTACCATTCAAAACTTCTTAAAAAGGAGATTTCAATTCTTTATATAACCCTTTGCTGAAATGAGTTTGCCATTTCTTACCCTGCTAGCTCATGTAATTCATTGACCGTGTCATCTTGTTGTCTAAAATGTATAAGTGCATAGAAATTTGTGGGGTGATACATGCCCATTGTTTCCCTAACTATACTACTAATATCGAAATTGAATTTTTTTTAGGAGAGTCACTATGGCTATGAACTGGCCGAGTGTTGCTCCAGTCACATTCCCCTAGCCATTATTTTAGCACAGTATGCTACACAATGTGCAGGGCAGACACATTTAAACACTTTTCTAATATTATTATTGTAGTGCAATATAAAATTTTATTCACTAAATGTGTTAGACCTAATAGTAATATACAATTTTTTGTCTTAATCTGAATTTTTGTATATCTGTTTTATTTTCGTTATATAATTTGAAAATTTATGTGGTCATAAATCATAAAAAGGAACTTCGATACCTTTATGCAGTGCTAAAATTTTATTACCAAGGAATGGAGGTTTTTATCTGCTATTGTATTTAAGCATGAAGTTTATTTTATTATTGTACTGTATTTTGTTAATTTTCTGTTTATTATTTTCTAAAATACATTTTATATTGTTTTACTGTAGGAAAATGTTTTCTTTTGTAATGAGTAAATAATTATTAATTTTAACAGAATCTGCTGCTGAAAACTGCTGAAGTTAACACATTTTTGTGTAGCATACATAGCATACAATGGGCTGGATAAACCTTTAAGAAACAACAACAAAAATAAACTGGAGACCTTTTTTCCAGTACACTGGTGACAGAGGAAAAAACAGTACACTTGATTTGGCAATCTAGGCAGGGGTTCTCAACCATGAAAGGAATTCCTAGTTTCAATGGGGAAATGTGGTTAGCCTGACTGCTCCTGCTTCCTGCTGTGCCATTAAAATTATATAAATCTCATCTACATGTATTTTTCAAGTCATAGAAATGATCTTCGAGAAATGGTGAAATTGATATATGCATGAAAGATGTTTAATAGTAATTTCGAGAAACGCAGGTCTAAAATAACATGCCTTATTTTAGCAATGAGAGCCTTGTCTTAAACACACACCCTAATTAACTTAAATTGCTGTAAAATGGTCCTTATCACACAAAGAATTGCACACAAAAATCTCTATGAAGTTGAAGTTCTAATAAAGTTAAGACATAATCATAAATCATATGTACTAAATAGTGTAAGTGTAATGTAATAATAAACATACAGAATATCGTACTATAACCCAACGGCTTTCAAGCGGGTAGTTACGGCAAAACCGAGTTCAGA